TAACCGATTTCAACAAAACTTCACTTTTTTTGGGCAGGTAGTGTTTCTTATTGTCTTGCACACTTTTTTCTTTATTTTTACATTCAGAATGCTTTAAAAATTCCATTTACAAGACAATTGTTTATAATAAAATTCTATTCAAACGGTAGACTCATAACGATTGAAAACAATGTTTTTGTTTGAGTTTGGGTTTGACCAATTCATAAAAAAACAAAAAAAATCTAATTAAGACATGCGTGTCAGTCAACCTTAAACAATAATCTTTGTCAATTTTATTTTTCAGTCTTTATGATGGTCGATACTTGATCTGTCTCTTACCGTTACATCCCCGGGCAACGCCGGGCTCTACTGCTAGTCTTTTATAAAATAACGTGCGCAGAAAATAGTTTAGTTCATTTAATCAAGTTCTTGATAATAGCTGATTTCCATCTACGAGGAACCCTTCTTCCCTGTTCCACGTCCCTTCAGAACATGGAGCTTCATGGCTCGCCACAACTTCTTATTCCATGTGGGCCTTAGCAGTGCTTCTCCCTTTGACAATCCTCCCGCCGCACGTTCCACCATCCATTCACAAAGGCTAGTTAGCTCGCTATCGTCTCCTATTTCTCTTGCCCTCAGTACGCCCTGTGAGGGTTAATTTTTCCTAGTCTCCTTCCTTATTATGTGTCCAAGGAATTTCACTTGACTCTACCCGATTCAGAATATACGTGTTCTTTTTGTTTCCATTTTCTTTAAGGCTTCCTCGTTGCTTACTCATACCGTCCATGGAATTCTCAGTATCCTTCTGTAGAATCACATATCTGTTTCCCCCAATTTCCTTGGGAGATTGTCCAACATTCGCTGCCATCTAAGAGAATATCACATAGCAATTCAGCACACTTTTCATTGTTTCTAGCGGAATTTTCTTGTTTCTCATTACCTTGCTTAGCTTTTGGAAGGCTTCTTTCGCTAGTCCAATGTGCGTTCGGATATAGATCTCGCATTTCCCGTCGTCTGTTAAAAAAACTTTCCAGATATTTAAACTTCTTAACTTTCTTCATGTTGACATCTGGGACTTTTTCTTTTGCTGATAGATCACATTTTCTATCTTCTTGTAGTTGATGGTTAATAGTTTTTCTCGCTTTCTTTTCCGATCCTGTTTAAGAGGTCATGTATTTTTCTTTCCGTATCAACCATCAACACAATCTATCTTATATTCCTAAGATTACGCTCATCTATAATAAATAATGGTAGTGTCTCCAGATAGGCACACTTTAGGGACATTTGCTTTTATAATTAAAAGACGCGTTTTGGCTATTGGATTATTTATATAAGGAATTACTACAATTCTATTTGCGTCAACTAAAATAGTATGGTTCACGAGTAAAGTGTGGACTAGAGATTTTCCTCAAAGATTCTTTAAGATATTTTCATTTCGTGTAACTGTTTTTCGTTAATATAAATATGCCATCAGTATATCGATCATATACATTACATTTGAAAGAAAATGATTAGACACATAGAAAGTATGTAATATTGGGCCGAAAGGTTAACTCATAGCTATACCGTCAATCTTAAAATGTTACCGTAAATTTCATAAAATGGTACTGGTTTCTGACTGGATAGAAGAATTTTACTTGTGATTTTATTTGAGGTTGAAGCGAAGGGAGCAGACGCGGGGATTCGTGAGCAACCGAAGTGTTTCTTTTCGGAAGGCATGAAGAAGTTCAGGCGGACTGTGTCGAAAAGTAACATAAGCATTTGTACCTCACTAGAAATAAAGGTGCTGTATGGAGATTGCTTACGTTTTGAACTACCCTAGTTTATATATATATATATATATATATATATATATATATATATATATATATATATATACTAAAGACATTTTTATGTTTAACGTTCTTTTATAGATACAAGTATTTCAGTAAATGGTCTGTTTATAATAAACAGTATTAAACAACATTTACCGGCCTGAATGTCCGAAAAATTTTCATAGGATTCGAACCTACATCCTACACGGAACCGTCATTTACGCTGACGTGCCTTGACCGCTCGGCCACAAAGGAGCGTTCGGTAGACAAGGTTGAATTTACTCCTTATAAACTTCAATCTTCCATGAATATCGTACATTCATAACTGCTCATTGAAGTTTATAAGGAGTAAATTCGACCTTGCCTACCGAAGGATCCTTTGTGGCCGATTGGTAAGGCACGTCAGTGTAAATGACGGTTCCGTGTAGGATGCAGGTTCGAATCCTGTCAAAGGACGAATATTTTCTATGAAAATTTCTCGGACATTCAGGCCGGTAAATGTTATTTAATACTGAGCATTTACTTAAATACTTGTATCTATAAAAAGAATGTTAGACATAAAAATGTCTTTAACAAATTGTCGGACTTTGTCCATTTCTTAATATATATATATATATATATATATATATAAACTAGGGTAATATATATATATTGTCATCCACAGACAGAGCGTTTCGCTGTATCGCAGCTCATTAGTGTGGCTAGACGTCCGGTTGCCTCTAGCTAGGATCGGTTGGTGCACGGCAGGGATAAAGGTGAATTTAAGGCGTATTTATTTTTAGATAAACACACAGTGACTGAGAGAACCCGACTCGATATACCGAAGAGTCTTGCATTATTAGCCGTAGTAGTCACTGTTTACAAACCCACACTTCTCCCCAGAGTGCTCAACCGAAATGAATTTTTCAGGCGCATATATATTGTCATCCACAGACAGACTGTTTCGCTGCATCACAGCTTATCAGTGTGGATAGACGTCCGGTTGCCTCTAGCTAGGATTGAAACCCAACTGAATTGGTGTCAGGCGGAGATTCTACCACTAAGCCGTTGGATGAAGGTGATTTTAAGGGTATTTATTTGTAGATAAACACAAAGTGAATGAGAGAACTCGTTTCGATTTACCGAAGAGTCTTGCATTATTAGCCGTAATAGTCACTGTTTACAAACCCCACACTTCCTCTCCAGAAAATTTTTCAGGAGCATAAAAAAATTCACAGAACAATTCTGTGGATAAGGCAAATTTGTAGAAGAATGACAATAGGAAAAACACCTGAGTTTTTGCCGACGCGTTACGTCTTCCGAATTTATCAACTTAAAAAAAATTGAAGCGAAATGTTATTGTTTTTATAGTTCCATTAAATCCAAAATTTAAAAAGAGAGAAACGCTTTTGCGTAAGCCTCTTTCTGGCTAATGTTAACTTCCTTTATACTAAGGGTTTTTTTCCATGTCGACAATATAATAAAATTATATATTATAATAAAATTATATATTATATAAAATCATACTTTTATTCTTCATTTGGCATATCCATAGAAATGTTCTGGGAATTTTATTATATAAATTTCGCTTCAGTTTTGCCTTGATATGATGTTTTTCCTGTTATTATATATATATATATATATATATATATATGTGTGTGTGTGTGTGTGTGTGTGTGTGTGTGTGCAAATATATTGATACAATAGGAAAGAACCGTTAAATTGATGATCTGAAGTTCCTTAGTTTTTTTGTATTTATTTTTCAAAAACAGTGCTCGATACACAAGTAGAGCCTGGATTATAATTATTTGAAAGATTCTTTTTAGAAATAATTATATATATATATATATATATATATATATATATATATATATATATATATTATTTTTCATATTCAACGCGAAGCAAAAGACTTGCAAAATATTTCAAAAATAAAAGAGTGGCTCAATCTGACAAATGTAACGAATCAAAATATATTTTTCTAGCCATCAACTCTATCACAATTGAAATTGAAAAGGATTTATCTAAGCTTAAAGATTACAACTACTTCGAAAACAATAAAAGATTTAATTAATACAAAACAAAATAAGAGCAAAACTTTAATAATAAAACTTTAAAGGGGAATTTTCTCTATTACCTGTAATAATTGTCACAAGGAATACATAGGAGAAACGTCGAGGAGTTTAAATAAAATACTATATGATCACAAAAGGCATCTTTTACAAAACAACACACTGAGTGCATGAGTTGCTCACTGTTATTAGTCTGACCAGAATTTTGATTTTAAAAATGCTACTTTAATTAAAAGAGAAAATAATTTACTAAGACGAAAACATATAGAACGTGCTTTAATCGCTATATCGTCCAACGTAATTACATCGAATATAAAATACTTTATATCTGGTGGGTAGCATCTTTGTACGTAATATCTCTCTGATTATATCAATAGGTCCATATCTATCTATCTTTTTTTGATGTCACCCTAAGCAAGGCGATAATGTCACTAGTACGCATGCGGGGCGAAAGAGAATGAAAAAAAAAATTAGTGAGGAAAGTGACAATAAAAGGACAGGATTCTGGAAGACAGAAGCTGTGGATGGAAGTCACATTTACATTTTGAAAGACCGTAGGTGGCAGGTAACAAGAAATCGAAAATGTGTTCTACAGGCTATAAGCACGAGAAAGGAAACCACTAGAATATAGTTAACGACTGCATCTAGTTAATTCAACAGTAAAATGGTGAAACAGAGTTGCCAATCTAGTAGGACAGCGAAATTCATGCAGCCGGTATTACTTTGTTTCTATCTGTATCTGATAATACCTATCTCTTGTGTGTGTTTGCGTGTGCGTGTGCGCATGCGCATTTAAATGTTGCTTTATTTGTGCATTTCAGACAGTGATTTACTGGAATTAATCGGCCAACTAGACAAAGACAATCATTTGGCAATAAAGGAAGTTTTTTTTTGTTTCTTTTCTTCATCTGCTGAACGATTTATTAACATATCAAAGCGTTCGCGAACAAGCTAGAAATCGGAACACTTTGTGAAAAAGGCTTTTTTGAGATCATTAGTACGTGTAATATTATCCAAGGACATAAAATTGAAGAGGCTTCAATCTTAACTTTCCGATCATCAAATATGACTTCTTAACTATAATCAGGGCAGAAAAGAAAAAAAAACAAAAACATGTGTCCCAATTTCGGATGTGACAACAAGGATGCAAAATCTAATGTTGAAATCTTTTTTCTTCGTCTTAGCCTTTACATCTATCTATCTATCTATCTATCTATCTATCTATCTATCTATCTATCTATGTTTATTACATGTATGAGAGGTTGTGGAAAGGTGACATGAGTAATTAGAATATAAATGACATCTATCTATCTATCTATCTATCTATCTATCTATCTATCTATCTATCTATCTATCTATCTATCTATTCGTCAGTCTGTCTTTCTACTTATCTATCTATCTATCTATCTATCTATCTATCTATCTATCTATCTATCTATCTTACATGTATGATAAGTTGTGGAAAGGTTTTGACGTGAGCAATTAGAATATTAATGACATCTATCTATCTATCTATCTATCTATCTATCTATCTATCTATCTATCTATCTATCTATCTGCCTGTTTGCCTATTCGTCACTCTGTCTTTCTACATATCTATCTATCTATCTCTCTATCTCTCTCTCTCTCTCTATCTATCTATCTATCTATCTATCAGTATGTGTATCTGTCTGTCTTTCTATCTGTCTCTCTATATGCCTATCTGTCTGTCTGCCAACCTGTCTCTATCTATCTATCTATCTATCTATCTATCTATCTATCTATCTATCTATTTCTATCTATCTATCTATCTATCTATCTACTCTCCTGTCCTTACATATATCTCTGATTCCATTTTAAATTCGTGCCGTGACCGATCATGAAGAGATATTCAAAACGACTGGAAAAATTGTAAGTCCCTCTCAGACGTGAGCTGATTAAACATCAAATAATCAGCTTAGAAGTCTGCTGAGGACGTTATATCATTTTAAGACCAGTAAAAAAATAATCAGATAATTACGGAATGAAAATTCAACGAACAGAAAATAAATCGTCTAATATAATGTAATGTAAACGTCATGGCAGTGTCTATAATCATGGGAACACTTGGAAAGACGCTGAAACCATTTCTGAAAAGATTTGTATAAAGCCGGGTTCAGTGAGAAGCCCCAGAACAGTTAAATTCAGCGAGAATACTTGATGAAGGTTTTTCGTATTTGTGTCAATTTCTCTCACTCAGAAAAAAAAACCTTTGGCATCACAAACCTCTGATGAAATCCTTATGAAGAACTTGGTCAATGAGGTTGGTTCTACAGTGTAAAATAGACGAAAAACAGAAGCTTTTGTTAGAAATGAAATAAAATCTTTTTTGGTAAATAGGAACCAAAACGTGACGCTTTCTAACTGAGAAGATTGAATTTAACAGTTATCAACTAGAAAAAGAAACACCGGTAAAAGACTAGAATCAGGGCCATCATTTGGCTAGAAGTTTTGAAGAACAAGGAGTATTGTTTAACTTTTTGAAAGAAAACAAGTTAATGGCAGAGTAAAGAACCTGTTGAGGTTGTTGCTGCAATATGACCTTGGTATCCAACAATTGTTCCGATTGATGCATTGGAGATCTCCTAAGAACGGCTGTAGGAAATATACCTTAAAACAATAGAGAATTGCAGCTTCATCTAAAAAGCCTTTTCCCGGAGAAAAAAGAACTAAGAAGCCCCCTTATGAATGGGAATATATATTTAAATATATATTTCGAAATGAAATGTTCCTTCGGGCGACGATAGATAACTTATAATGAAAATGATTTATTTGCGAAACTAGAAAACATATCATTAACTCATAAACTTTAACTTTCAAATGAGTTCATGTTTTGTTTTCTAGATTCCCAAAATAAATCATTTTCATCATAAGTTATCTATCATCACCTGATGAAGGAACATTATAGTTCCGAAACATGACAGTTTTTTTGTGTAGCGATGTAAAATATAATAAAAATATAATAATAATATTTTGCTCTACTTTGTATTGAGCAGTTTTAAAAAAAAGTAAATTCTTAGAACTGTGGATTATTAATCTGTGTGTTTTTTATATATATATATATATATATATATATATATATATATATATATATATATATATATATATATATATATAAAAAAAAAGAACAGTAAGATATATAATCCGGTGTTCTTATAGATATTTTATTTTTACAAAATAGTGCTCAATGTAAATTTACAGAAACATTAATATTATAATTAATTTATTTAAAATATGTTTTTTTGAAACATGGTTAGAACTGTGTAGCGAAAAAAAACATATTTTAAATAAATTAATTTATCATATATATATATATATATATATATATATATATATATTCGTGTTTCATAACTAGTGTAGTTGCTTATTCTTCTGTCAGCGTTCAGAGTTCGAGCCCAGCTGCTTACCAGGCGTTCGAGTACTGATTTATAAAATCCACCTGCTCTCTCCATTTGAACGCAATCTTTTTTTTTTTTTTCAACTGTGTTACACATTTTTCCCTTCTGTTTCTCATCAGGAAACTTTCACATTTTCTCCCTCATTACAGTTTGAAAAGATATCTCTTCTTTCCAAGGTCGTCATGAATAAAACTCATATCGCGTAGAAAATTGACGGCCAGCGAACGACCGGCAAATGAAGTCTCAGCGGACTCCGCTTCAATAAATATTTCCATTTTCAGTTGATCGGTTTTACAGCTTGCAGCAAGAAAAATAAATATTTTCCTTTTATTTTTCTTGTCTGTCAAGGTTCTTCCTGCGGTATAAAATATATTTTTTACTATCATAAAAAATATATATTTATTTCTATTTTGTTTTTTTGTTTGTTTTTTCATTACTTTTCTGCCATTTGCTAATGACAGCGTTTTTATTCAACCAAAAAATAAGAATATATTAAATGTTTTCTAAACTGTTGAGCACACGTCCGCAAAGAAAGAAATTGTTCCATAAAATGTCCTGGCTAAAAAATTTAACGATTTCATTTAAACCAAATCTCTAAAAAGTGTCGATTTTAAATGATATTCTTCAAATATACAACAGAGCTGAAGTTTCCCAGTTCTCTCTTCCCAGCCCTAATAAAATTCAAAATCATTTACGCGGTCATGTAAGGTGGGACTTATCTTACATTCTAAAGCAGCTTTCTCACAGATGCAAACTGCAAGCCTATCTCTGTTTCTATGGCAAATATTCAAATGAACTCATTTCTTTAGTTCTACCAGTTAAGACCTTTACATCATGGAAACGTCCTTATGCGTTCACATAATCAAATCACCTACATTTCCTCGAAAGAAGTTTCACCCAGAGAGCATTTTCCCACGGGAACTGCTATTTTGTGGAACAGGCTCCCGCGTGGGTGCTTCTCTTAATATTACAATCTTAACATTTACAAAGTCAACGGTCAATTTCTACCTACCTCCTGACCCTCATCATCTTCACTTCCTTCCATCATCTTTTGGGTTCATATTAGACGCCTCTTTCAGTCGACTACTTGAGTGGTTCTTGAGGCTTGTAATGAGTGAAATTTAGTACAAAAAATATATTACAGAGTTTTTGTCTAAGGTAGCTTGTTGATTACGTTCACTTAACCCGTTTGCTGTTTGGGAAGGCATGGACGAGCGTTTTCCTTCAATCTGTTCCATGGCCAGATATCTTGAAAAAAATGTCTCAACTTCATGCTACCTTAATTAACAGAGAAGAGCGTGAATAAAGTGTCAGGAAAACCTCTCTCATATATATATATATATATATATATATATATATATATATATATATATATATATATATCAGAATGTAAGGAAATCTGCTTCCTGGCATTATCCAATTTAAGTGCGGCTAGTCAACATAGATGTATACATTTACACTATTTACATTGTTCGGACTGTTGTCCTCATCTTTGTTGCCATTTTCACGACGATTTGGCCGTTTTACGCTTCGGTCTCCTTCAGGATCTGTCTATATTTCTGAGATGAGGTATTGTGCTATTTACACTATTTACATTGTTCGGATTGTTCTTCTCATCTTTGTTGTCCTCAGTAACACATGGCCCAGTGGATAAAAGCGTTTATTGAAGTAACCCAGTAACTTGACCCAAAGAGTTGTGAGTTCAATACCTGGCCACAGCACAGGTGACGAAAAATTGGTGTGTTGAGTTAAAGGGAAATATCTTAAACTGAGATATCTGAGAGAGGAATGGCACGGGGAACTAGAACAATCTACCCCTGTGGACGAAATAAAGAGTTTGATTCGAAATTCCAATCACCTGAAGAAGGCCGCAGCGTACAACGACCGAAACATCATGAATATGACAACAAGGACGAGCTCAACAGTCCGAACAATGTAAATAGTTTAAATAATTACAATCTCAGAAATATAGACATATATAGGTGTTTACTTATTTCTGTCTGGCAAAAGATTCAAATTAAGGTCAAGATAACTATGTTACACCAATGTTCTAATAAGGAAAGGCCTGTCTGTTTGCTTGCTTTGAAAATTATCGTTCAAGAGCTTGTATTTCTACGTAGGATCGAACACTAACCGATAAATTAGCAACTGTCTAAAGAAGTGAACTGTCTGTACCCTCATACAAAACTAGGTTACTTTAGTAAAACCAATCTCAGATTTCTTTTAAACAAATGCTTCGAATTGGAGTATTCTTCACGAAGATAATTTCATGATTTCTAGGGGACCAGTTGTAGTTCACAGATGCCTTTATTCACTTTACCAACGAGCTTCAAATATACGAGGTCTAATGAAAAAGTGCTGAGACTAGTACTATAAAAAGAAAACTACAACATATATCACTTTGGCATTTAATCTCCTTTGTAGTAGCCCCCGTTCCGAAGCTACACACTTAAAAAATCCCTTTTCTCATATATTTTACAGAAGTCTGTAGAAGAGATTGTTTGAAACATTGTGGTAACATAAACAATATACAGAATAAGTTCAATTGTTTCTTTGGAATCTTAATAACTTAGGAGGTTAAAAATTCCTCAAACTATGAAAGCTTTGGTTTTTTGCTAATGTCAATCCTTTTCTTCGGTAGATTTTGAATTATGAAAGTTCAACATATTAAAAATTAGTTAATGCTTGGTTATTCTTGACAGTACATAATTTTCTTTAATCCTTTTTTTTTATATAAAAGCTTTATTTTTATTTTTTTAAGTGATGTTCAAGAAGCCAAGAATTCTGATGGAAGGAGTCCAGGAATTCCTTTTTGGGAGTAGCGAACAGCTGCCTTGTCACATTCTTTTGAACAACTTCCACGTCACTTTCTTTTTTTTTCAATTTGTTTGAAAAAAAAACAAAAGATTTTTATGTGTGACGTATAAGGATATAGAAAAGATAGGAAAGGCAAAAGGGTGACAGAGTGCAAACAATAATGCTTTTTGATAGCAGTTTGATGAAGTATTGTTGAGGTATCGACAGCAGCGGTCAAGGGTTTGACCACAGCACTTCCAAGCCTCCCAAGGGGCGGGGGAGGAAAGGTGGAAATAGAAGAGGGTAGGACGATGAAGGAGGGATAAGGTATCTATCTATCTATCTATCTATCTATCTATCTATCTATCTATATATATATATATATATATATATATATATATATATATATAAAAAGAAAGAACAGTAAGATATATAATCCGGTGTTCTTATAGATATTTTACAAAATTAAATTCGGGGCTTTTAGATTACAAAATTAAATTCAGGACTTTTAGCTTCCATTTTTTTGAAACATGGTTAGAACTGTGTAGCGAAAAAAAACATATTTTAAATCAATTAATTTATATATATATATATAT